GGCGGGCACGCTTTAGTGGAGGAAAATACTGGCTTTCGGCTGGCTGGCGGGGGGTGCGGGGAGCCCTCCTGCAGCCGTCGTGACTACACGCTTGGGTTGGTTTGGGTTTTTCTTTTTTTTGCAAATGCTGTTGGCAGTAAGGGTTTGGCTGCTCATCCAAACTGGGAGAGGAATATTCTCTTGGGCCAAGCCTTGCTAGTCAGGCTTGGGTGAGGCTGGCGACATCAGTGCCACCTGCAAATAGGTCCTTCGGGGGCTGCTGCTTTGGGGTGAGAAAAGCCCTTCAGGGCCCTTCATAGCTCATTTTTTCTCCATGTATGTCCAGCTGACCCCGTATGATCCCTGACCAGCAGTTACTAGAAAACATGCTATGCGAAATTCTAAATCTTGATCTTTTTTTTTAAGAAGCAGCTGAAGAAAAACAGCCATGTGCAGATAGACCAGGCTTTAAAACAGGCCTAAAATGCATTTCTGCCTCTGAAAGACCAAGCAAGAGGGCTGACAGGAGGACAGTAGACGTGAAGTCTGTCTGTGGGGAGGATCAGCTCCAAAAGTCAAAATGAGGTCACCTGAAAAAGGAATTTGTAAGATGCCTTTGGGGAAGGAGACTTGAGTACATAGCGATGGAGAGCTATCCACTTGAAATCTGAATTGAACGAGGCTTTTTCTGCAATGACATTCGTATTTAGTACTGTCAGTAGCAAACCTGGTAAAAAAGCAGGCGGTCTGACATGAGCTTTGCCATCAGAGATGTTCCTGTTGTTGCAAGCCCCCATCTGTTCCAGCCAGGGGGACTGGGGCTGCTCTTGGTCGGGTTGGTTTGTTCCCTGGTGGCTGAGTGGACAAGAAGTCAAGAGACAAACTGGGGAGCCGTGACTGCTAACGGGGTAAATTTTTCACCAGAGCGCTGTTGCTAATTGCCTGCTGTGTCTTCTAACATCTTTTAGTGGTTTCTGTTGGAAGTACTGGTAAATTGAGAGACTGTAAAAGTAGTTTTTAAGGTTATCTCAAGTTCATCATGTCGGTCTTTTTTTTTTTTTTCCCCCTAGAAAACTGAGATAGGTTAAGTTGTAGGGTAATATGGTAATTTAATATTTGATGGGCAGTTAGGAATATAGAAAATGAGAAAGTAATTTTCTAAGTTTCTAATATCTAATTCCTAAATAGCTAAAGCTGTGGTATTGAAGAAACGAGACGAGTGATTTCACTGAGGTTTGAGGAACTGAGAAAGTATACATCTGTTATAATAGTTCATTTTTTTTATTTTTAGTTTTAATGCATACAGTTCTTTATGCTTTCTGATGTGCAGAGATAAGGTCATGCAGCAATACTCGAATTTCCAGAGGAAGAGGCTCACGTTTTTTTCTCAGACACAAATCTGTATAGATACTTTGATATCTGTGTCTCAGTGTTTTAAAAAAGATCCTCTGTGTTCTTCATTTGTTTTTGTTGGTTTTTTTTACGTCATTTGCTAGATTTAATTGCAGACAACAGTAAATCATCAACTTTTTTTGCTTCTTTCCCAATTAGTTTGATCATGGTGAATAAACACAGGGTTGCTTAGTCTCTGTTTCAGTTTGGCAAAATAGAGGGTGGCCTGATTGTTTGAACTGCTTCGGTACACGTGAAAATAAGAATCTCCTGAACATTCTGGTTTCGGTAGCAGGAGCTCTAAGAAGAGAAACCTTGTCCATTCTGTTAGATGAAGATGATTTAAAAAAGCTATGGATTTTTACTGACTAGATTTAATCCCCGAATGTATCTTTGTAGTGTACATTTTATAAAGTTTACCAAAAGCATTTTTAAGTTAAAGCAAACCCTTTAGTTCCTGAGCTTTCCTGTGTAGAAAATATTTTGTAGCTTTATGAGAAGCTGAACTTCCAGTATGTAATATGTAATATTTTCCTGAAAGTGCTCGTGGTTTACTGGCTGAGACTACGTACAGCCTAAGAAGGAAAGCAGGTGTTTTTGCCACTGTGAAATTAAGACTGCAGCGGAAAGTGATGATGTATACCATGAGTGATGTCTTGTTTTGGTAGGTAGACTATAATATACCAAATAGGCACTTATGTTAATAGGAGCAGTGCTTTGATATCATGGTGAGGGCGCTCATTGCTGTTACGCAGCAGAGCTTTGGAGCACAGCTTTGATGCCTGTGTTAATTTGCAGTTACTGACTGCTTTCGGGATGTATTGAGACAGCACGGTACCTGAGAACTGACATTTGCGGCCTCGCTTTGTCGTTCACCTATTAAAACAACGTGAGATCTGTGAGGGTGTTTGTGGGGGTGGATGCTTTTCTATAACATGGTGATTTATAGCACTTACTGAATTACTCCTTTGAGTTTATCTAGATTAAGATAAGTTTTTCTTTGAACAAGGCGGCCATGAAGCATTTTATTATTTTGTGTCTCTTCCAAAACTTGAACCATAACTTCTTTTTCTTTTCTTTATTGTCTTAGCTGTAAAGGACCCTACAGCTGTAGAAAGAGCAAATTTACTGAACATGGCTAAACTGAGTATCAAAGGACTCATTGAATCAGCTTTGAGCTTTGGCCGAACTCTGGATTCTGACTACCCACCTTTGCAGCAGTTCTTTGTTGTCATGGAGCACTGCCTGAAGCACGGCCTTAAAGGTGTGGTAATTGCTCTAGCTGCCTGTTTCTTATCCCAAACATGCCAATTTTCTTCCTTTTCTTGAATGAGACAAAATCAGAGCATGTTATCTTGCTTTAAGAAGTGAAGAAAATACGTAAATTGTCACCTTTTATGATTAATCGTGTCATTATTAATACTTCACAACATATGTTTTATGTTTCCAGCAAAGGCAGATAGCTTTGGGTACTGGTGAGCTGACCAGTGTGGCAGTTACCTGTTACCTGGAAGTCTAGGCTCAGTGGTTAACCCTTTCATCGCACCAGCTATTTTGAAGGAAGCTACTCCAGTAATTTAATTCAGTTACTTCATTTTTCTTTTCCTAGTAAGAAAATCCTTTCTAAGTTACAATAAAACCATCTGGGGTCCTCTGGAACTTGTGGAGAAATTATATCCGGAAGCTGAGGAAATAGCAGCAAGTGTCAGAGATTTGCCTGGCCTTAAGTAAGTAGTATTGGTAAAATACAGCAAGAAAATAAAGGGCCTGATGGAGAATCTACAGGTGTCTGATGATTCCATTTGGCATTAATCAAGCCTTTGAACAGCTAGCGCATGATATTGGGGGAGAGCACAGGTGAATGTTGCTAGCTTTTCATGTTCTGCACAAAACAGCTAAAAAAGTAGGATTTTTATGTTCTTTTCTGATGTTCTTGGGAGAAAAGTTTTCTGAATGGTGGGCAAAAACGGTGCAAAAAGGAACAGGCTGTGTATCAAACAGCCTGCAGTCTAGAACTGCAGCAAACAGTGAGTCTAGTCAGCAAAGGCTGCGTAAAAACGAAAGGTAACATACTTGAAGAGGAATGATTAGGCAGCTTTTCAGATTCTTGTGTGTAGGGTCCTTCTCAAATGTAAATTTGTGCTGTGAACTACAATCTCCTCCCATTCCTCTGTGCTCTGCTTTTGTATTTAGCTTTATAATTTGCCTTACATTAAATTCCAAAAGGGTTTGGTTACATTGTGATTGGTATATGGCAGCATAAGGGCTGTAATTTATAGCTGTAGACCTTATCTACAGCACATAGGTATATAAATTATTATTTACTCTTGTATTTGGCCAGATGAAATAATACCCTTTGCCAAGCGTGTTACACTCGTCCTATCCTGATAGGGCATTTATGTGCTTCTTAAGTGTGCAAGCACTAGAAGAGGAGGATCTAAAGGTCCAGGTTTCATTTGTTGGATGTTAATGTTTGCCAGTTACGTATGTTTTCACCTTTTTCAAATTGTTTTTCTAAGATACCACTGAGTTTGTAAACAAGTATGAGTTAAAGCTAGAACTGGGTAGACCCAGAGAATAGGACTGGGAAGGCAAGCTTGCGTGATGAGTTGTAAGGAACATTTGGTTATTTTTCTCACAATTCCTCTGAAGACTTTGTAAGCAAGTTGCAGGAAGGAGTCTGAATTGTTGCAGATGTTCTACTTCAGCTAGAAACAGGACTTCCAAGATTATCTTTACAGACACTGTCAGGTTAAGAAGGTACTTACAGGAAAAGAGCACCACTCTTAAAAATTCTTTCCGTGCTGCTAGTCCTGTACTGTGTGAGGACAAAGCACATTCAACTACAACAGTGTGTAGAAAGTTGCGTGTTTTCACTCTCTGAGCAAAACAGTTAATTTTACTGTCAGGCTCTTGTGCTTTCTCTGCTCCTGTTCTTCCGAAGGAGCCAGCTGAGTTGATGAAAATTTTTCTGATATTATCCCAAAGCTTGGAGTCAAAGTCTAGACCTTGTGGCTTCCCAAACTGCATCACTCAACTAATAATTTAAAATAACCTTTCAGAAATACCAATTGCTCTACCAGTCAACTGATAAGATGTTTAAGACTGTGAATGAATTGATATATTGTTGATGTGGGACGATTTGTCTTCATGCCCTTTTTTTCAGAACACCACTGGGCCGTGCCCGGGCCTGGTTACGGTTAGCGCTAATGCAGAAGAAAATGGCCGACTATCTTCGCTGTTTAATAATTCAGAGAGATCTTCTCAGGTAAACAATTAAGTGGATTCTGTTTATGATTTATTTTTAGAGGTTTAGTCTCCTGAAAAAAATTACTATTTTCTGTTCACTACTTTTTAATGTATCCTTAGTGTAGCGAGGTGTAGCTTCTGGCCTGTGGGCTGATTTCTTCCAGTCCTCAGGGTAGAGGGACCAAATACCGCTGCCTCATCAAGATTGAGGGCCAGCTGATGGGTGAAGAGATGTTTCCTCCCCATCATGTAGGTGGGCCTTCTGCAACCTGCCTAACTGTTCTTTCATAGATGAGGTTGATGGGGAAGGGCTCCCGCTACATTCCTCCGCCATGCAGAATATGGACTAGAAACCTCTGGAGAGGAGATGAATTCGCCCCTACCAGATGCACGGTTTCCTACTTAGCTACTACCATTGCATGGAGGACTACTGCTTTGAACTCTCCTTTCACGGTTCTAAAACTGGCATTGCTCTCTCCTGGTTTATCTTCTCCTTTCTGATGGGGTAGTTGAAGCCCAAAAGGAAAAAAAACTTGTCATCTTATTTTCAGTTCTATAACCTACGCGTATTTTTGAGACTTTTCTTGTATGCCTAGACATTGCTGGTGTGTCAGGTTTCCATTGAATGCACAGTTTGTTTCGTAGAGTCTAAAACTTTATTTGAAAATGCAAGGAGGAGGAAGGAAACATTGGTGCTCTGTTGTTTAGTGGAGTGTTTTTCTTTTCAAAACCTTTTTAGCATTTCAGCCCTTTCTCTCTCTCTTCTCTTACCCATTTCATCTTCATATCATCTGGCTTCTTTAATTTCAAGCATGTGTTCATTAAAGTCCAGACCTTTCTTCATACAAGGTAATTTTTTATACCATTCTTCTTTTGCATTCTTTGGTGTTTCTTAACAACATAAGAATTGTCTGGCTCAAGTGTTGGCCAAACATCCATCTGTTGCAGTATTCTGTTCAAAAGTGGCTCACAGCAAGTGAAGAGCCTTTTTTTTTTTTTTTTTTTTTTTTTAAAAATTCTTTTTTAAGGCAAAATAAGTCTTGCCCCCCAAATTTCCCAGCCCTCCAGCAGCTTCTGGCTCAGATTTGTGGAGCCAAATCTTTATTTGTAATAGCCTCTGAGGCAAACCGTGCACTTTCAATTTTTAAATATTTATGAGGTGAATGTATGGGCAGACCCAGCTCATATTTAAAGATGTTGGGGTAAGGCTAAAATAAGAGAAACAATTCAGATTACGATGTCACTTATTATTAATTTATTGCATGTAAATATACTGAATATACCAATAAGATGCTTTTTTTTTTTCTTTAACAGTGAATTTTATGAGTACCATGCACTAATGATGGAGGAAGAAGGAGCAGTTATTGTTGGGCTGTTAGTTGGGTTAAATGTGATAGATGCCAACCTCTGTGTGAAGGGAGAAGATCTAGATTCACAAGTAAGTCAGTACAGGTAAAGTAACGTACATGTAATCCGTAAGATTTTTATGTACAGTGAATTTTGTTACTATGGAGTTGTGACTTGGTAGCAATCTTACTAGAGACAGTTTAGGGCATGATCCAGCTCCTGGATCAGTGGGGGCTGTTGCATTAACCTCAGCGTCAGTTGGGTCAGACCTTCAGATGGTAATAATTGTCAGAGTGCAAAGGTGAATTTTTATGCTTCGTCATCCAATGGATGCAATAGTAGCAATGCAGAGTTCTTTCTATCTTAATTGTGTAACTTATCCGTTTCCTTTGTGGGAGAAGTATAGTTCCATGATGGGTTTATCCCATGCCGTTCATTTATTGTTGTTCTGGAACATAATAGGAATGTTTCAAGGACCTGAAACAAAAACTTGCTTCGCAGAGTGTAGTAGAAGACTTTATAAGAGGGTGACTGCTTTCAATCTGCAGAACAAGACTTAGAGTTCTTCCTCCTTTGCAAACTGCTTCCACTTTGAACTCTGATCTTTTCCAAGAAAATCTGGATGGATTCTTTTTAAAGGCAGATGTACAAGTATTTATAAATAGATGTAGGCTTTGTTCGGTCCTGACTGGTTTTGTCCAGCTTCTTTATGGAAAAATCCTAATGGTTTAAGTTGGCAGTGTTAGGTTTATGATTGTACTTGGTGATCTTAAACATCCTTCCAACCTAAATGATTCTCTGATTATTACTGTATTTCAGCATGTATTTGATGAAAAAGCAGTTTCTATGGCAAAGAAAAGTTAGAGCTAATTGGGTATGTGTGCTGTCGAATCATAGCGTTAACTTGTCTTCGGTTGTTCATTCTAGTTACTGCCTAACGTTTTAAGCACTGATCTTGTATACCAGGAGACATAATATTGAAAGGCCTGTAATTGTAGAAAAACTTACCAATGTGCCTTTCTAGTATTGAGAATTATCTGCATGTATTACAAATGACAGAATCTGTTGCTAGCCACACCTTTGTTATCTAGGTCATTCGGTGGCTCTGCTGTATGAGGGGAGATAAAACTTGATTTAAGAAGGTAGTAGTGGCTGTCCAGATGAGTTTTTAGAATAATTCAGTTTGTGAAGAGTGCTGTAAATCAGGCACCTTCTCTGAGAAGCCAGAAGAAGCAAGTTGTATTGAGCAGAAAGAGAAATTGCTGGAGGATGGTGGAAGTTGCATCTGGGAGCATAGTTTTGGTATGTTAGGAGAATGCTGTTCAGTGGTGGAATATGTGTATGCACACATAGAGAATTAAAACAAAGTAGCCTCTATAGAGGTAACATTTCACTTTTTAATAGAAACACTATTTGGCTTTAATAGGCAAAATATGTTTCTAAAAAAGCTTTTGGAGAAGAGACTTTTTAGAAAAGATGTGGAAAGAACAAGTAGAAGACCATTGTAGGGAACTGACGGGAGAGCATTGTACAAACCAAGGAAGGTACTTGTATTCAAAAGCTAAAGGGAGCTCAAGAAGGAAGCAGTGGATCAGAGACATAGAAATACTTTGTGAAAAGGCTGCTAGAGACCAAAAAGGAAGGGGTTTGGTAAAGCAAACGTGGTGAAATACTTTTTTTTTTTTTTATTTTTAGAGACTCATGAATAGAGTTGGAAGCAGAACTCATCGTAATGTTATTTCTAGTACATATGATTAAATTACAATTGAATAGAAAATAAATTAATTAGCTTCAGATTTAGAAGGTTTAAAAAAATGAATACAGTTGAGTAGGCACACCTGGGAATCAGCAAGTGTGGAGAGGTAGCATTATTTGGCAAGGAATGTTGAAAAGTTAAACACGGGGGAAACATCAGTTTTGGAGATGTGCTGTGGTAGGAAATCATGTGAAACACTCCAGACAAATTATCAGAAGTCTGCTCAATCAGTGATAGGGTTGAGTAGCATCTGATAATTCCCCAAATGAAAGTCTCCCTGTAAGTTCTTGGTTAAGCTCAGTCAGAGGTTAGGAAATCATCTTTTCTTTGGTATTTGGTACCTGGCACATGTTAATTTTGTTCAAAGGTAATATAATTCTTAACAAATACGTGAGACTACACTTGAAAAAAAAATAGAGGGTCTTATTTAAAATGTTACAGTTCTGGTTTTTGTGCTTCTGGCTGAAACTGGACCAGTCTTAAAAAAGCTGATGTAACTGAGGTTTTAGTAATTATGTCGATACAAGATGGTGAATATCAACAGCAATCACTTGTATTATATGAAACCATGTGCATTTGCTTTCCCCTAGGTTGGGGTGATCGATTTCTCTATGTATTTAAAGAGTGATGACGACATCGGCGGTAAGGAAAGGTATGTCCTCACCAGATACCGCAGATTTTGCATGTTAAGAAGTTATTTTTTTGACTGGTCCCTGTTCTGTGTAGAAATAAGTCAGGTTCCCTAAAGATGAATTTTTCTGATCTCACAGTGTTGAGAAGAAAAGTACACTACTTTGTTCTGTGTTACTAGTTAGCTGGACAAATGTTTGCACTCTGAAGCAAGCCTCAGAAATATCACCTACTTCCTTTACCTGATGGCCAGTACTGGAGGAGTGCAAGGTGGCAGTAAAAAAGAAACTGCTAACCCTTAAACTCTCAGTCTGGGATTTAGTCAGTATTTCAAAGAACCATAGTTATGGCAGAGTAAACGAACATCCTTTTTCTTTTGAAACTGTATACGTTCTTATGTTCCATGTAGACAAACTGCTTGCAGTTAAGCCATTGGGGTTTTTTGTCTCTCACTGGTGTCACAACATGTAAGTTAATGACTTCATGATAGTGAGATTAAGTTGCTTCCTTTCTTTTTAAAAACCACAATTAAGATGGACATTTGCATATGATAGGTGTATTTTCAGTACGTGGTTCACTACATAATTTTGTTAAAGCTAATTCTATTATGTGCTTGCTTTAGAAATGTACAGATTGCTGCAATTTTAGACCAAAAGAATTATGTTGAAGAGCTAAACAGGCAACTGAAGTAAGTATTACTTCGAAGTGTGCATGTCAGTCCAGGCTTACAGGTAAAACACCTATAATTCCTTTTGTACCACAGCTTTGTGAGAGAGAACTTCATAGAAAGGGGTGCAAATTCTTCATGTTTAGACAGAATGTAGTGAAGTTGGAAAGGATACCCTCTTCTGGAGAGACTTGGGAAGTCTCAGTTTTCCTGCTTTTGTTTTTGACAGTCAGAGCCTTTATTCTTCAAAGAAATGAAAAACAGCAGGTCAAAACCAATCAAGGTCCTCACGATTCATAACTTCACACAAATGAAATGTTGATCTGGATTTTAACTTCATTCTTTTTAACAGTTTTGAAAAAGTATTATTGAGTGTTCTGGGTGAATCCACATGTTTTCGTTTCTTTGCCTTTCGTAATATTTTAGTTTGTAGCTTTAATGCCAAGGACCAAAACTGAACAGGTTCATTGCTTGCTGGAAACTCCTTAAACATTGTAGGTTGTGGTTCCTGTAAAAATAGTTTTCAGGAAAGCAGCCTTTCCCCCTTACTTTGCTGGATGGGGCAAACCTAGTCCGCTGCTGTGTGTGTTACTATACAAGTAGAGGAACAGTGATTGTAATTCTTTGAGGAGTACTGTACAAAACTACACAGTGCAAGGAGCTGAAGAAGAAAAACAAAAACCAAAACCAGACAACAAACCCAGAATGAACTTCTGTAGAATCCGTCGTATACCTGATCTTCTTGATCCCTTTTTGAAATGTATTCGTATTTCTTCATTTTTAATGCTGGTAATCTTGATCCTTAGTTACTATATGGCTACTGTTGGGGTAAAGATATTCTGATTTGAAACTCTGTCAGTCACTGAGCAGAAACCTCCAACAGGACAGAATAACTGAGTGTGTCAAATGGAGCAAAACAAAACTAAGTTAAGGAGGATAAAGAATAGTGGTGTTTGTGCGATGATAGCTGTCATATTTCAGGTGATCCTACGCTGGTTTATGCATGGAATTACTTGCAAACCAGTGGTTCAACAACCCTTGTACTTTATTTCAGGTCAGCTGTTCCTTTCCACACATCCTAAAATGCATTAATCTCCGCTGCCTTGCCATTCTTAAGGAATGAACTGGTAACTTCTGAGGACACCATGGTAGAAATAAGTGGAAAAGTAAACAGTGTTACAGAATGGGGTTTTTTCTGTGTGTGAAGTGCAGCCTAAAAAAGGGTGCTTACAGCAGAAATAGGCAATCAGGTAATGGAGAAGGCATGGATGTAGTTTGATATGATAAAAAAGCACAGAGTAAGAGAAGGGAATAAAATTCTGATGAGGCTTATAAATGAAGTCAAGAAGCATCAAGAAAGAGGTATCCTGAGGATAAATCTCAAAAAATGTGGAGAAGCAAATGATTTTGTAAAATAAATGGGGTTTGGAGGAAGAGAACCTGGAGAATGGTTTCATTTGAAGGGGGTGGACCCAAGAAGATTGTAAACTGTCTTTTAAGGGAACTCATTAAATGTTTGGATACAATATAGTTGTGAGGATAAAGGAAAGGGAGAATACATGTAAAGTCACACCCAACCAGGGGTTTAAGCGACAGGGATGACACTGGGAGGTGGAAAGAAGTATCCAGTTCAACAAAGGAGACTAATTTTCTTACATTTAGGAAAACCTCAAATAATGGGAGCAGACCTTTTAGCACTTAACCTTTTATCACTGTACCTCTCATTAAAGCTTTTGAGCTTGGTTGAAAGAGTTTTGATGTAATTTTGAATATTGTTTTTTCTTTTTCTCTTCCAGTAGCACAGTTAGCAGTCTACATGCAAGAGTTGATTCACTAGAGAAATCAAACACTAAACTGATCGAAGAGGTATTATTTTCATTTAGTAATGTATAATAGATACTATTTACTCTCAAACAGTTTTTCTAAATGTACTTACATTATTTTACTCTACATAAGTTCTGTGCAATATGTTCAGATACCATTATTTTGGCTTGAAGAAAAGGTGCAGTAGCTGCAGGGATTTGAAGTCCGCTTGCCTAGGTAGCCTGCAGCATCGGTACATTAATTCTGTAGAACATTGCAATTTTCCACCTTGGACAAAACCAGAAGAGAAGCCTTTCTTAATGCCAGCTGTCAGTCTGATTTTGTGCAGATGACTAGTCCATAATGGATGACACCAGTTGCTACAAAGAGACAGAAAGTAGTTCACCAAGCAATTTCAGTTACCATTTTCAGCTTTAGCCGAAAGATTGTTTCTTATTTATTTACCATATGTTTATATACAGTTTTTAGACTTGTCTAGCTCTGGTTTTGTATTTATATCCTATATCTACGGTTCTCTTTGATGCTTGACTAGATTCCAATATTTTTAGTTTTATAAGGGAGAACACATTTTTTTTTAATCTGAGCTGCTTGAGAAATAGTTAATGAAGTGGAAAATTGAAATGTCTAAATTCAGCTATTGAAGGGATAGCGAGCTCATTCTGGGTATTCATGTATCCAGATAGAGGGAAAACATTTTTTTCTGAGTGTTAATTTTCAGAGTATTCCAGTTCCTTTACAAGCCTTCAGCCCAGCTGTCCACGTATTTTGATCAGCATAAGGTATATACTGTAGAGTCCAGTTAAAATGTTTCCTCTTTTGTAAATAAGTTTCCTTTTAATCTCGGAGAGGTTTTCTCATGTAAATTGCTCCATATGATATATTAAGATGTCCAAAAAACAACAAAACTGGATATAGTTGATTCCAAATGGAAAGAAAAAATTTAGGATGAGGAAAGGGAATTGAGGGTCTTGAAGTCACAATGAAGCAATGAAAAGAAAGCATATTCTTTACCAGACATGAAATAATGACGTATCTTGAATATGCATGCTGTTGTGTAATGAGAGTGACTCATTACTAAAACCAGGAGCTTTATGTTTTCTTTAAAAACTATTAAACCTCTGTTTGGTAGACTGCGAGAATAGAGCAGAGAATGTCTTGGTCTTGCATTCATCAGAACACTTTTATTCTTTATGTCCACTCACAAAATTGGTCACACTGCTTTTCCTTTTTTTTTTTTTTCTCCCTAGTTAGCAATAGCCAAAAACAATATAATTAAACTTCAGGAAGAAAACCATCAATTAAGGAGTGAAAATACCCTTATTTTAATGAAAACACAGCATCATCTAGAGGTATGTTAGTTCTACCTCATTTAACATAGCAACATCGTGTGGTTCATGGTCATTCAAATGGTCTTACATTACAACTTGAAGTAAACAATAGTTTTATTAGGGAGCAACGTTTATTAGGGAAAGGACCTATTAAATCTGGGAAGCTTTACAATGGCATAAATATATTGAAATTATAGGACACTAGATTGTTTAATAACCATATGCAAATTTTGTAGCATTTTTCCTTGTATTCTTTCTATTCTTCCTTTCTTCTTTTTTTCTTTAGGCTGTAAGCTATATCCAAGAGCATTTAAGGCACTATTACCTGAAAATCTTGTCAAAATAGTGCATGTTTTAGTTGGGAAACTGTCCACTGTGACCTGTCTAATTATATGGAATGTCATTTGGAGTAATCGTTTATGCAATTGCTGAACTTTCTTTTTAAGCTGTGATTTGTAGCTCCTTGCGTAACTTCTTGTATGTTTTTTAGAGTATAATTGGTAAAAGCACAGGTTAAGCAGCTGTTTGGATTGCTCAGTACTGAAACAGTTGTGTATTAGTGACTTACTGAAGGAGGACTGTACTGCAGTACAGATGTTTATTTTGCTAGATTTACTCAATTCTCATTATAAAACTTAATGACCACATAGCAGAAACAGCTCTTTCCAATGTTTGTACTGTGCTTGGAGAATGTATTTTTAAGCTTTCCTTGCCCCAGGTGTAAAATTTATGCTATTAGTTGCTAAATTTGTGATGAAGAAAGATGGAAAGATGGATTCTCTTTATCTTTGTAGGCAACTAAAGTGGATGTGGAAGCAGAACTTCAGACATACAAACACTCCAGGCAGGGTTTAGATGAAATGTACAATGAAGCACGTAGACAGCTTCGAGAAGAATCACAGCTTCGACAAGTAAGTATTCTTTTCTAGGATTACACAGCACTTCTAGAAAAGGTTATGCTTGAGAAGAGTCAGTATATAAATATTTCTAGTTTTGCTCTTGCTGAGCTTAAAGGCTGCCGTTAATTGACTTTAATTGCCTTCTCTCTAGCTGTCTGTAATAATAAGAGTTTTTTAACAGAACAACCAGTGCATCAATATCTCTGTAACAGTGTTGCTAAAGCATAGTAAAGAAAATACATATTCGTTGAGAGATATTTAGGTAAGTTATTAGCAATACTGTATGCTCTATATGTATGCTGAATCTTTCTTCTGAAAATAGAAATCCTTTAGTTCTATTTTTGTAATGAATACTTAGGCAATTCTGTACAACACTGGCAGGGTAATTTCTTATTATGTGAGTTGTCTTCTTCTCCCAAAGTTAAAAAAAAAATTCGGTCGCGAAGTACACGAGAGTGTAATGTTTATGTAGTGGATAATTTGCAATGTTAAAGAGGGGAGGAATTCCTGAAGTGTTGAAATAAGTGGTGCTGCAGCTCTGTTAAGAGTTAGCTTTTGTCTTTCTCAAAACAGATAAAATGTTGCATAATTATTTAAATATTCCGTGTGGCATCGTGTTTGTGTTTTATAGGATATGGAGAACGAGCTAGTGGTTCAAGTTAGTATGAAACATGAGATAGAACTTGCCATGAAGTTGCTGGAGAAGGACATCCATGAGAAGCAGGATACCCTCATAGGCCTTCGACAGCAGCTTGATGAAGTTAAAGCAATTAACATGGAAATGTACCAAAAGCTGCAGGTAAAGGAACAATCTGCTGTTAAACTGATGAAACGACTTTGATTGGAGTGAGAGACGCATTTCCGTTCTGTTTAGTTAAATACTGCTGTTTCCTTAATTTTTGGTTTCTTTCCACTGAGGTCAGCTTGTCGTTTCGGAACATTACTGATGCAAGCCTGATTTCACACAAAGAAGTTCTTAAGGCAGTCACTTAATGGTAGTGGATTTCTAGAAGAAAAGAGCATGAGAATGAGATTGTGGCCTAGTAACGTGCTGTGGAATAGAGAGTAATAGTGTATCTGGTGATATTGGCACTTTTTGGCCTGCGTTGTATAAAAACCCAAGAGAACGTAGGCACGTAGTGAGATGTTAAAGAGGAGATCTGAGCTTTCAAAGTACGGAAAGGCATTTGGAAAACAGGGTTGCCTTAAAAAAAAAAAAACCCAACCTGTATTTAGCTTTTTCCATTTAATCTGATAACAAATTAAGAAAATCTGTAACAATGCAATGGTTCTTTGGGAGAATATGGATCTTGGAGACCCAGTGTGCAGTTAACAGATGACCCAACACCAGGGAAGTTTAGCAGTGAATTTTTTATGCAGAAAACACATTTGATTTATGGAATACATTATCAAAAACAGCACAAGAAACCAGTCAAATCTGTGGCAGAATGAGGGGAAAATTTAGGATGCTGCAGAGAGGTAACTGAGATGATGGACAAAGGATGCTACTTTTCCACCTGCAACCGTGGACCAGAGGAAGAGAAATATAAACAGAGTGAAAGAAAAGTGAGAAAAGAATGCTCTTTGGTATGTTAGGACCTGCAGGGATTTGTTTTTCTTCTAAAGCTGTTCTTCTGGGGACTGCTTCTGGGTAACGCTGATTTCGCTTAGTGACATTCAGACCCACTTTCCTGGCAAAGTAGACCAGTTTAGTCATGCCCAATTTCTGCTGTTTAGGGAGCAGTTTATAGTGTTTATCTGTATAGCAAGGATAATGCTCTACTTTTTATTTAGATCTTCAAGCTGTGGTTGAAGCAGCTCTGCAAGCAACCAAAATTGTGAAATGTGTTAGTAAAACTTCTAAAAGATTTTTAGGCTTATGTAGTAGTTTAAGAGTTGAAGAACCTGGGGGATTTCCAGGACTAAGCATCTTAGTTCTTTATTGGTAAGGTTCTGATGGGCTACTTAAAAAGATAATCAGTGTATTTAAGTTGACTTGCAAAATAATTAACTAAGAAAGCAAGCCAGAATGAAAAAATGCATACTTATTAAATAGCATCTACAATTGCAAAGTACAAAGCTACAAATTGGTAGGCATAAAATTTTAAGTACTGTCGACTACATTTTTTTTAGATGGGAATGTTTAAAGAGTCAAAACCTGAAGCCATTTTAACATTTTTTCCCCTCAGATATTGAAGAAAAAAAAAAAAAAGCGGTAACAGTGTAATGTTTGCCTACTTCAGCTTTAACCTTTTTTGCAATACAGGTTTCTGAAGATGCTATGAAAGAAAAGAATGAAATAATTGGTCGATTAGAGGATAAGACCAATCAAATTAATGCAGCTATGAAACAACTAGAACAAAGGTACAGGCCCATCTTTGTTTTTCTTCATTCATTTCTCCATCCCCTTACATTTTACTGCATCCCTACACAGTTGCCACTGAAATGTAACTTTAAACTAGAAAATGTAAAAAAAACCTTTCTGAAACTTTAATTAGTTTAATTAGTTTAACTAATTTATACTAACTTTAATTTATACTGTTTGATTTATTTTTTTTTCTTTTTAACAAATACACTTATTTACACAAACTTAATCTTTCATTTTTCTTCCTCCACCATCTTTCTTCTGAGCCTGCATTTTTGTGCTGGTATCAAAAATTGTTCTTTCAGCTGTTTGAAAATCCTGATTGATTATTACCTTTTTTTTCCCCCCACCTGAATGAAATGCAATAGAAACCAAAGCATTAATCTTGCTTATACTTAAGCATGTGCTTAATATAAACGTTTAATGCCTTCATGGATCACTGCTGTATTTGCTGAAGCTCTTAAAATTGTTATTGATTGCTTTGGAAGTACCATTATTTTCAATGACATAATGAGTTTTTACACTAAAAGGTTGAAAAGTGAAAGACTAAAATTCCAAGATATGAATTTACGTTATGGTTAGACTGCATGTATTACATGGTATTAAAATGTGATTCGTATGTTTTAATTTAGTGGTCTATATGCGACATTGATCTTTTTAATTGTAAAATATAACATATCCATAAGCCCTGTCATGTTGGTGTTTGACATGTCTTTTTTTTTTTCATTTAAATCTGATTATGAAAAACATGGTTATGTATTTAAAAAAATAGTGACATGAGTATTCTTTTATTGACATCCTTTTTTCCTCTTTTTTTCTTTTTCTTTTTATCCTTTATCCCAATTTTTGTTTTTTACTATTTTGCTGCCTTCATCTGTCTTTGATTTTTGTCCACTGCATTCATGAAGTGACAAAGATCTGTTAACTCAAACTAGGACTATTGCAATGTCATTCATCAAATGTGCCAGCAATGAAGCTCAGCACCAGTATAAGCTTGTCAAAGATATATCATTCTGAAAGCTCCTCCAGATCTGCTCTGTTTAATAATTACTGATAAATCTCACCTTAAGAATTTTAAAATTACAATTTTAAATATAAAGTGCTATTAGAAATCCTGCACTGTAACTGATCGTAGCTGGGTTCTGTTTTGTTTTCTGAAAGAACATCATCTCCGATCTCACTTTACCCCTTATATAAAAAAAAAAAAAAAAAAAAAAAGAAAAAAGTAAATTATTGCACTATTATTAAGCAAATGTAAGCTAGTTTTCTAATGCTATTTAATCACTTCTTAATTGTCAAGCAAAGTTTATTTTAAAAGGTCAGCTATCTTTACTTTGACTACATTTTTATGACATTTGTTTCTAATTAGTGATTTTTCCTGTTCTTTATGCTACTAACAGATTTAAAAAGTAGCCCTTCTCACTAGTTTTGCCCTTCTCCCCTGCTTATTTGTTTCACTTTTAGGCTGTGTTTATCTCGAAAGCATGCTCTCTGTTGGATTTTTTGGTTGTAACTAGCACTGTGTTCTTAATCAGTGTGACAGGAGCTTGGGGAATGGGGGCTTGAGTGCTATATCAGAACAATATATTTTAGGAAAAAAAAAAAAAAAGAGGGTGGTGTCAATATAGATGTTCAGTACGTATAGTGGAAGAGTTACAGCGTTTGGGGGGTAAAACACCTAAAGCACAATTCCATTTTGCTGATGTGACGTGAGGTAAAACATTTTCATGGAGTTTAAGTGTGTTTGGAGCCTGGACTTGGATGGGGCTCCAGGCAGGGGGGGCAGCATGCCCTAGCAAATTTTGTAGCTGTGACTCCTGCCTAGAACAGCTACACCACGATAGCTACGGCGCAAGCTGTAGTAATAAATAGGATTTACGTTCAGGGCCTGGATCCTGAACTTGTCTAACTTGCTTGTCAGCTAAGGATCTTGCCTGTCTGTGGCTTTGTCGGCACTGTAATCATAACCTGTGGTTTTGCCCAACCCCTTTCCCCCCCCTCCCCTCCACCCATCATTAGGCAGTCTTTCCAATTCACGTTTCTGCTTTGTGTTGCTGCTTGCCTGCACTGCAGAAATAAGGGAGTTTTAGCTGCTGGCTGCCCTTGGTGCACTTCCCGCTGTTTGCTCTGAAGTGCGGAGGGGAAGCTGCCTGGGAAAAGAATCTTAGGGTCTTTCAGCAGAAGGGGATGTGCTTGCAAAAGCGGGGGCAGGATGCAATAATACAGAAAGGGTTTCTACTCCATGATTATATATTACCTTATTCCTTGGTTTGGAATCGGAAGGAGCCTTTAACATGGGTTGGCTGCTAAAAAACAAGAATAAGTATCTCCTATTCTCAAAGAAAACCCAAACCAAAACAACATAAATATGTTGAATAAAATGTTTGAATATGTTTGAATAAAACAACAAGTAGACCATAGCAGAAATGGGAGTGTTAACCATCTCAGAGTCATCTATGCAAACAAGTATCTGCCTCGGCATCATCTGAATCGCAGATCCTGCTGCGAGCTCAGTCCAGCTCAGCATTTGTCCGAATTGCAGCGGTGCAGTTAGCCTTGGTGCTAGCCTAGAGGATGGTGCTGTAGCCTGGGTTGGCTAGCCTGTTTCTTGGGTAGCAAGCTCCCTTTCTACCTTGGTTGTGGAAACTAACCTGCAGTATAATTTGTGAGTTAGGGAGGGTTTTAACTGGCTTTTGGTGTTACTATCTCATGTAGCTTCATTCAGCTGCTTTTGCCGGGTGAATTGACCCTGCTGTTTCCCAGTATTCTCCTTTCCGTACATGTTTTGCCCCTTTCTGCACTAGCATTGCAAATGTGGCTGGGAACATTCTTAAACCAACCGGTATAGTTAAATGAGAGAGTACACACGTTATAAGGTAGTTTAATTCCAGTCTTTTTCCCCTTGTTTACTGGCAGCTTTTGGAAACTCCTGCTGGTGCAACTTCATCAGTACAAGCACAATGTAGACATATTGCTGACTCAATTTCTTTTTAGCTGGCATTGGGAGTTGTGAGTTACTCTGCACTCAGCTAGATGCTGGGACGTGAGAAATCAAGCACAGAGAGTATCACAGATTTCTCCCACCGCTTACCTGAGAGGCGCTTGAAACAGTTTTGTTAAACAAGACGCAGCAGGTGGGGACGTTCAGTGGTATTTTACAGGCCCTTTTCCTCTCCTGCCTTTTCATCAAGACAGGTGCAGCCATGATACAGCACAAGTTCCATTTTAGTACTTTTACTTTTGTTACTTTACGTCCATCTTTTTTTGGACTGAAGAGGTGACCAAGCAGAGAGCAACCACAGAGAACTAATGGATTCCAAGGGGAGTGCTAGCCAAAGCAGAAACAAACCCCTGGAACTCAGACAGGAAAGATTAAATTAAAAAAAAAAAACCCAGTCCCTCACTTCTCGATTAATCGGTATAATTTATTTTGTCTATAGTATGGAGCTATTTTAATCAGTGTAAGAATGCATTATTTTTAATACAGATTATTTAAATTAATTTCATAATATGATGTAGTTGAGGTTCTATAAATGTAGTGGGATCTGTCAGGGTGTGTCTTGTTGTATTTAGGCTAGTTAAGTGGGGGTTTTTTTGCTGTCTGATTGCAGTGCTCTGTATTCAGCCTTATGCCTGAATTGTTTTGAGCTGCTTTTGCACTACACATGCTCTGCCCTGTCTTAATGGGTGATTAGTAGGAGCCAAGTACTTTTACAGGTTTTATTTAAAAAAAAAAACAAAACCACAACAAAAAAAGCTTCCAAAAATAACACATGAACATATGCTAAAGGAAGGGAAAAAAAAAAAAAAAGCATTAAGGTATATGCTTTAATTCTAAAATATGTATCGTTACGCTTTGGCATCTGTTATTCATGAGCATAAAATAAAACAGTGATTACTTACAGTGGTTACTCTCTTACTGTATGAAAAACCAGGAGCTAGTTCTCTAGGCATTGTATGGATTTCTCATTTGAGTTTGTGAGTTTCCCCCCAAACTTTGTTTTTATTTAGAAATGTTTCTATTTCCCCATTTTTGTTTTATTTGTCTTCTTCACCCTCTACACCCTAGTTCTAGCTTCAGTTTTACCCAAAGTTGATTTGAATTACACCAGATTGCAGCAAGCAGAGAAGGCTCAAATGGAGGCTGAGGCCGAGGATGAGAAACTTAAACAGGAATATGTGAATAAATCGGAAAGTCTGCAGAAAGAATTCTCCCAGAAGGAGAAACAGCTGTAAGTATATGTTCCCTGTTTGGAAAACTATACAGCAGTAAACATTCTACATTGCAATATGTCCTGTGTTGTTGATAAATGGTTTTGAACAGAATGTAAACACTGAAGATCTTCATGTTAAGTACTGGCAAGGTGGAAGAAAACATGCCGTTCTGAGAAAGTCAAGCTACCTTTGGATGCCTCGAAAATGGTGTGCAGCTTGAAAGGAGGGGGAAGAACAGCAGTATTTTTTGTCTAAAAGTGCCGGCTTAATTCACAAGGAAATTATCATAAGTGGGGGAAAATATGTAGCATAGTAGCAGTAGTAATACACACTTCTAACAAAGCCCACAAGTATGTAGTAGGATAAACAGAAATGCCGTAAGAATAGTTTAATTGATCAGGCTTATGGACAAGGTAGAAGTGGTTTAACGTACCACTGGGGAGGAAATAAAAAATAAAAATCCACTGGACACATAAATACTAAAAAGTAATATAAAAGCCAACCCTCTACCCTTTCTCCTGTTAAATCCTTCAGTATGGATTTAAATAAATATGTAATGTAAAAAGGTCCCTGTAAGGGCAGGTGTTTTCCCTGTTTGGAAAGATAACGAGTAAATTCTTTAAGGCAGTGCAAATCTGTGGCACAAGAAGGATTGGGGCGTAAAAATTAGTGATTTCCAATCCAGTTATTGGCCCACCCTGCCTCTCCTACAACTCTGAATGTTAATAAACTTGTTTAACTGTCATGACAAATGTTCACTTTACTACCACAGTCATCTTTGCAGATTTTGGCAAAAGAACAGTTCAGACCCCAGCCTTAGAATTCTGCAATTCTGAAACCTCAAGGTCATGTTCACTTCTGATCTTTTCCAGCCAGATGCTGAGGTAGTGTCCCAAAATGTAAGTCTTTCCTTTAAAAATGGTTTTGGTTTTAAAACAGGAAAATTAACGTGGTAACAGGTTTTCCATCAAAAAACCTTGCATGACTACCCTCAGATTTTTTCCTCTTTTATTGTGTTGGCACAATTTCGATCTAGGAGGTTGAGCGGTGTGCGTCCATCCTTTGGGTTTCTCCGTAACATTCTAAACACCAATGCTTCCATGAAACTGAGAGTGAAATTCCAGCTAGAGTGGATCTTCCATCAGAGCAGCCCTAACTCCTTTAACTGGACTCCAGTTAAACTAAGAGACTTTAGATCCTTCTTTATGTTGAACCTCAACTATGTAGGAAGCTCAATAAGAATAGTAATTTAAAGACCTTCCTCCTTTATTTTCAGTTCTGTTCAAAATGCCATAGCCTTAGCCTAAAAATGGAAGATTTATGTCTAAGGGTGTAGTATTAAATGACTTGTATAAGCACCAGGGATACGTGCAATCATCGTCTGCATCGCCGATGGCAGCGTGGTTGGTTGGTTGGTTTGTTTTATTTTAGAAGCAAGCTGTGTAAGGTTAAGGGGGCTTTTTCCCTTACGCATGTTTTAAAAATACTTTAGAATTTTGTGGTTAATCTTCTCTTGCTCATTTATTACAAAGGTCAGCTCTTCAAAATGACGCCATGTTCTTGGTCCTTTAAATAAATTTCTTTTTAAAAGCATTTTCTGTTACGGTGTTTTGGTTTGTTTATTACATCGATGTCTAAAATATGATACTGATATATGATACTGATACTTTATTTCTCTTTTAGAAAATGTGTAAGTACATCGTTTGTTTATTATGACAATAGTATATTGCACCCAGATATAAACTCATTTTTTAAAAATTAATTTTATTTTTTAAAAATGATACTGTTCCGCACAGTGATTGGGGTTTTTTTGTTGTTTTGCATATTCTAGGCTTCAGCTGGAAACAGATTTGAAGATAGAAAAAGAGTGGCGGCAAACCCTGGAAGATGATCTTCAAAAAGAAAAGGAAACTGTGTCTCATCTGAGAATAGAGACCCAAGAAATAATTAACCTTAAAAAAGTAAATTCTGCAGTAAAACTTAACTAGTATTTTAGATATTGACTGCGAAGTTAATTATGGACTTAGACATGGTATTTTTAAGAATTTCTGCAAGTAGATAGGAAAGATGAGCGTATTCTCACAAATAGATTACCCAAAAAAATTTTTTTTTTTAGTCCCCACTTAGTCCTCAGATCAGAATTCTGAATAAGGAAAAATTAAATCCTCGTTTTCCTTTCTCAGTTGTGTTGAAGACTCTATCTTCTCATCGTAGGCCAGAAAGTGCTTCAGCTTCTCTCTCTCTTGGTATACGCAGCTGTATAGTGGTGTTGATCTCTGCAATCAGTCGTTTTTGTTTTCTTCCTGGAGAGGACTGCGGAAGCAAAAATGCTTCTTCTCTTGGGGTCTAAGCGTGTTTAATCCTGAGTTGTTGCTGTTCGAATTGGATTGGGAATCTTAATAGGGAATGTGATGGATGGCTCTTTCACTTGGCTATCTCAGTAAGATCAGCTTTGGGTAGTAGCCATTTTCCAGACAGTAGGCAAATGCAGTTTTGAGAATAATTCGAGTTTTTTTGGTTTTTGTTTGTTTTAAGGAGTTCCTTAAACTTCAGGAAAAGAACAAACAACTGAAAAGGATATGTCAAGACCAAGAAGCTGCTCTCCAAGAACTGGCATCCAAGCTGAGCGAGTAATTTCATTATTCATTATAACGATTATTTTTGTCATACAAGCTTGAATTAAGAAAAATAATAGGGTGGTGGTCGTGTGGACAACATTACCTAGCCGGTTATCAAAAATAGATATGTCTAGTTAGGTCAGATCTGTTTAGTTTTATTTTTGGCTGGTGAGCTACTGTGAACTCACGGGTAATTACAGTGCTCTGAAGAGAAAATCCTGGTTTAAAAGGGCCTGGGGACATTAGGAGTTTTTCTGCACTGAAAACAGTTGGCTAGTTTGCATGGTGCAGCGTTCCCAAAGAAGAACCTAAGTAGAAGGTAGCAGCTCTGGCTCCAGCAGGACAGCGCTTATCTCTTTGTGAGGATGCATGCTCATGGATTCCTTTCCTTGAGGAGATGAAGTTTCTCCATATGACGATCGTAGCCCGTTGTCACCAAGTCTGTAGGGCTGTAAGGCATTACCTTAGCAAAACCCCTTCAGACTGTAGTGAGCAATAAGCTCTGAGCACAGCTCTCATTATTGTCGCGTGTCGTTAAAGTTTAATTTAATGCTCTCTTGTCCTTTAAGTGGTTGTGCCGTGCCTCGTGTGGATTTTCATGCCCTATAGAATAACTTGGTATATACGCTGTGGCTCGGTCAGTTCTGAGCAGCCTGGCACTGGGTGGCTGTGGGGAGGCTGGTTTCTCCACAATGACATAATGTGGTCTTGTACAAGTCCAGAAATTTAAATTCTGGTTTTGTACCAACGCTGTGTGCTAGCTTTAGGTACCGGCACAGAGCTACGCTGGTACAAATTTCTCTTCTCGACGTCACCCCAAGCAAATTTACAGCCGTTCAAAGGATTCTGAGCTCTTTGGAGAGAGCTTGTCTTTGTGTAGTGCTTGGTACAGCCGGGCGTGATACTGATTGCTTCTCCTGGATGCTGCTGTAATATAAAATGCTAACTGAAAGTTCAGGGTACTTGGCTTATCATTTTTTAAGTACCTACAGCTTTTAAAGTTGTTAGACCATACCTGACAATATAGAACTTTGAAATACATTATCTTACTCTTTTAGATCAAAGCTGAAAATAGAAGATATAAAAGAAGCGAACAAAGCATTGCAGGTTAGTAGTACTTGGAGGAAAGAGAAACTTTTTTTTTTTTTTTTGACTGTTCCCTTTGAAATATTTTATAAGCATGAGAAGACTTCTCTCCCAACAGCAACTATTGAGAAGAGACTCATCGTATGACCTCCTCCGGTGGGAGAGAACCACAGACTCCCTGAAGCCTCACAGGGAAAAGATACTCAATTGCTTTTGATTTCTGGTTTGATGTACAGCTACGCACTTGGATGCTTTTCCTGCAGTGCTACGCCCTTCTATATTTTTACAACGTGTATCTGGGACAGAATATGTACCCAGCTGAGCTGAAGTTACGTACTGCTTCTCAGTGATCAATAAATATTTGATCACCATCAATAAGTAAACTTGTAGCACCAAAGCTGGTAAAACAAGACCCGTAATGTCGAGAGGTTTGGAATTTTCTTAAAGATGTGCAAGGGAGCGCTTGAGAGCAGGGATTTTGTCTGCACGTGTTCCATCACGTGGTATGCCACCTTGCGTATTATGCCAGTCCAAGTAAAGGTGTCTGAAATGGTTTTGTTGAGCAGATGCCTGGTTTTATTAATTGGTTTAAGCAGAAGTAAATTAACAGTTCATGACACTGTCCTGGTTTTTTTGCTTCCCTGCATCTTGGGGACTGTTCCTATGTGATGGGCAGGGACATAGGCTCAGCTCTGAGCCTTGGATACCTTTCTGCTTTTCCCAGCTCAGCTTTCCTCTCTCGAACATGTTCTCTTTGCACCTCTTCCTGCTCTGTCTTGTCTCTTAAGGTTTTGCAGTGTTTTGGAGCGGTCTTGCGCTGCTCTAGAGTGTCATTGTGACACTGTACTGGTTTCGGGGCGTTAAGCAATTTGGGCAGTTAAATGTACCGCTGTTGGTTTGTCTCGTCCCCTGGAACCCAACGTTTAACTTCATCAGATACACACAGTTGTGATAATTTTTTCTGCAGGGCCAGGTTTGGTTGAAGGACAAAGAGGCTACACATTGCAAGTTATGTGAAAAGGAATTTTCTCTTTCCAAAAGGAAGGTAAATCTTGAACAAAATTTCTTCCAACTTGTTTACATGTGTTATGAGAAAAATATTAATTATCTTAGAGGTAATGAAAGGCATGTAACGTCAACGCTCAGATCAACGCGTAGTTGTTTTTGAGATGTCTTTCTAGTTCTTTGCTACATACAATGTGGCTGGGCCCTAATTTAAAAAAAAACAAACCACTTGCCTGTTGGTGAAGTGCCACAGAGGAACAGACTTCAAAATTATTCACCCTGCTTTGTGGAATCACCGTCTCAAATGCTTGTCAGCTCTGGCACTGTTACAGTTTGACACATGTGGAGGTCTTTTTATGGAATTTTTGAATACAATACACTTAAGAAATGATAAGTGTATTGTTGTTTTAAAGTAAAATGTGATCTTGATTTCCATGCTTTACTAATGTGTGTGGGAATTTTTATTTTACCTTTTTATGTTCAATCTCAATTAGCGACCTGACCAAATCATCCACTGTCTTGAGTATCATTGCTTCTATTATCATTTTTATATAGCACAGTATGCCCTTAATCCAGGGATTAAATGAAATCTGCAAAGCATATATACATAACATATATATATATATACACACGTGGCCCTAGACAGACCATATACATCTCTGTCTGTGGTTGTCTGTCTGTCATAGATTGGGATTTAGATGAATTACCTTTTGACAACTGATTCCGCGCTCAGACCAAAGAAGCGGGAGGAGTTGCATTTTGGGTTGCGCTGCCTCTGTTGTTGATTGGTGTGCAATTACCGAGTACATGTCCGTGGTAAATTGTAATTTTTAATCTTTTCCCCATTGTTTAGCATCATTGTAGAAACTGTGGCGAGATCTTCTGTAACGCCTGCTCTGACAATGAACTGCCTCTGCCTTCTTCACCAAAGCCGGTTCGGGTCTGCGATTCCTGCCATGCAATACTTATACAGAGGTGCTCTTCTAACGTGCCATAAGATTATTTTACAAGATATTTATTACCTTTTGGTATTTAGCTAATCCTGTTTAAAAAAAAAAAAAAAAAACAAAAAAAAAAACCCCCAACCAACTAAAGAATGTACAGCAGTATTTCCAGAATTTCAGGTAAGCAGGCGAGAGTTGTGTTTTGAAGGTACCATGGAGGAATTACCTGTCTGCTTCCTGTTGAAACAAGTAAGAGAAAATGGGACCCAAACGTCGAAAATGCAGGTGTTTAAAAAATACAGGTGACAATGTTAAGGCTAACAAATGGCTTAGAAGTTCTCTTGGAGGAGGCAGGGCGGTTCAGAGGGGAGACTCAGTGTTACCATGTATTTGATGAGTATCTTGGTCATTACGGTGATCCTGAAAAAGGCGATTGCTCACCTGCAACGAGCCCAGCCCGGTTCTGCTGCAGAACGTGCCTCTGAGATGCTGTCGTGAAGCAGAACTCTGCGGTAGCCGGTTTTAAATTGTGTTTAAAAAAAGTAATGCAATTAACGTAGTGGTCTGACAAGTTACTGCCCAATACCTGATTTGTTTATGTCCTCTCAGCTATCAAGGTTTGGTACATGCAGGAATATTGCACTGACAGCTCTGTTCTTTGTAGTCACGGGCGTAAGGGGAGATGTTGTCCAGACCAGTAACAGACAGTGCCTCTGGGCACAAGGTGAAGGAAGGTGCATTTTGCCGAATTATTTTTTTTAAAATTAACTGTTAATTTGCCGTACCCGTGTTTCCATTAAAAGAGAGATGTCCATCACAAAATCTTTGCCTGACAATGTCTGTAACCTCGAACAAGCATCTCTGCGTTCTTTCCACGCAAGTCACGCTTTCAAGCTTGTACGTGGAGTCACTGTACAGCTCGAGCAGGGCGAGTCAGCCACCGAGAAAGGCTAGGATTAAATACCGCGTCCTTTCTGCGCTGGGCAGGAAGGTTCTTCCTTACGTTGTCATCATCTTTCTCAAACTTCCAGAGTTTGTTCCTAAACTTCCATTTATTTTTTTCCAGAGCACTTTTGAGTACGTCTAGGTCTGACCACTCTTCACGCTGATGGCAAATTCTGCTGTAAATTCTTGCCCTAGGCAAATACAAATACACCCTTTGGTAAATTGTCCTCGCTTCCACGTGACCGCACTACAACCAGTCTGCCCTCTTCCCTTTAGCCGCTCGTGCGCTGGGATCCAGCCGTGGAATCGCCACGCTCTGGTCAGCACCGACGAGCTGTCGGCAGAATTACCGGCCCGGTAGTTCCTTCAACTGTTGGCTTGGAATAGTCTTACTAACCGGAAAAAGGGAGGCTTTGAAGCAGGTCTTTTAATTGTTCTTGCACTTTGTTTAGCTCAGCTTTGTCTTTTGAGGATAGACGTTTCGTTAATGCTCCAAAAGCTAACACAGCTGTCCTCTCCAGCACCTCAGCGTAGTTGCTTATGTAGCTTTTGTAAAGAAAAATGTTTTTAAAATTACCTGATGTAACTTTTTGTAAAATAGAAAACAGATCCTTGTAAATAGCTTTTGGAAAAAAATAAATTTAATTGATCTGCAACTTAACTATGGGAATAATATCACTTTATTTAAATTTGGAATTCAGAGTATTTTCAGTATCTTACGATAAGTTGTCCAAGTGGCTTAGAAGGTCTTGGCGTACGTCGGGGAGTGACATAACCAACCAAGTGCTGCTCCCGTGCCTCCGGAAGGTATTCCGGGGATGCCTTCCGGGGGGCAGTGCGTGGGGCCGGTGTGGAGGCAGCGGGCTTTGACCTAGGATGTAGGCACTGCTCGTCTGTACTGCTTTAATACGGAACTTTTCAAAAAGTAAGCAACTAAACAAAAGTAATTTTAAAATGGGCAATCTCTTAAAATAAGAATACGGTGCATTGCTGTAACATGCGAGAAATTAAATTTCTACTACTTAACCACAGTCTTTTCCTCTCCTGCGTGGCCCTGGTTGCGTGGAAAAATGTCCCTGAAGTAGCACATAACCATCCAGGTGGCTTTTACGTGGTCTAAAACTTCTGCGTTGAACAAAATGGCGAATGCTGTATGTGCGGTGTGGTTTCATTTCCCTTGGCATCAGTCTTGGGGCCTGGCCTGCTTTTAGCAGTTTTTTTGGACCTTGCTGTTATTAATCCCATATCCTCGTCTTCCTCTAAACCCCTGTTCTTTCTTTGTGATTCCAAATCATTCCTCGCACCGACTGGAGGAAGATCTGTGGGGTACCTGCTCCATGCCGCAGAAGAAACTTGACTTCAAACAGTATCGGAGCAGCCTCGGTTGCGTTCATCTTGGGAAATGACTTTTGACTTGAACGAACTGGGGGGCACTAGCAAGTAAACTGGGGAGAAAAAATCCCCTCCTCCTCCTCCCCCCAGCAGGGTCAGAGGCAGCGCTTACAGCTGAAGCTTCCTTGCTGACCAAGCAATCTTTTTCCATCGATTTTTTGTCTCAAACCCAATTCCTCTGCCATTTAAACGCTACTGAAGCGACCTTGCAAGGTTCGAGGGGCAGCCCCTTCGCCACGGCTCGAGTTCAGCCTGCGCTTCTGCAGTGGCGCCGGGCTCCAGAGGGCAGCTGGAAGGGCAGCTCCCAAAGGGGGAAGCCTCACACGGGTGCCAGGGGTCCTTTGCCCACGGTGAAGGGGCAGAGCTGACCGCGTTGTACAGGCGCCCTCTCCCTTCCCGTGCGCTGCTTCTGCCCTGCAACCGGACCAACCCTCATCCTGCCCTTTGCCAGGATGAACCAGACAGGCTTCATTCAGCGACAGACCAAGAACCCACCAGTTGCTAAGGGCACAGTTAAACCAAAGCCCTGGGGGATCACTGGTGCCAGGATCCCATCTTCCCTCCCCTTCCTGGCCACAAATACTGCAGTACTCGGAACATTCCTCTGCCGCTTACCCTCTCAGCCATTATTTCCAGTCGCTTTGAGACACCACCGCACTCTCTGGTGAAATAAACTCCATTCTGCTCTCTCCCACAGCAAGACATTTATTACATATATAACACAGCACTAGCAAAACAGGTGACAGACTTTCAATACCCAAGATCACATTTTAACAGTTGAAGGGAGGCATTGAGGACAAAGCAGGTAACCTGGGCGATCGCACTGGCTCAGGAGAATAAATACCTTTTCTCATTACACATCAGGTATGGTTAAGTGGCTTCAAACAATAGTTTCTTACATATCTTACAGGTCACAAATGCACAAAGAAGTTTGATCAAGGTGTTTGGGTCGTGTGTGTTATTTAACAAGTATTGGGCTTAGAGTTATTTGAGATACTTTGCTTCCAGCTCATCCATATAATGGCTTGTCAAGTCCTGAACAAATACCAATCGGCTCCGTGCAGCAAAAAAAGGTGGAATTATGTTTAAATACAATTTAATGGAAAAAAAAAAAAAAAAGAGCCTAACTTGCTTCCAACTCCCCCAGTGTTTGTGAAAAAAGAATAGTAGGGAGGTAGCTTCAGATTAGCTGGTATTTGCCCCATTCCATGTCAGCAAAAAGCTGTGCTAGCGGTGTGGTTCACTTGGCCAGTGGCACATGTGGAAGGCGGTACCTGGGCTCTACAGCCCAGCCGGGGGGGGGGGGAAACTCGTGGTTTGGGGTCATGGAGGCAGAGCCACGGGGGCAGCCCTCGCGCCTTTGAAGAGGAGGGTAGCTGCGGCTGTACAGCCACGGCCTTCAGCCTCCACAGCTTTATGAGAAATTGTGACATACAACTTATCAAAAGGGTTGAGGAAGGGTCGTTACCAAATAAACTAAATCTACTCGTCTACCTTTTTCCCCTTACACAAGTGAATTCTCCAAACTCGTTCACTACACACCAAGATTACATGGAACTGAATCAGTGTTCATAGGAGTTAACAGTACAACCACCTTTATTGAACCATAGTACAACATCTTAAACCGACTGTAGTCTTGAATATGTAATACATCCTTAGGAGTAACTAGTATAAAAAGTATCAACATCAGTGGTTTGAATATAAAAATTTATTTAAAGTCAGAGTATGCAACAAATAAAACCTACAGAAAACAGATTTTCCCATCACAGTCTGTTGCTTACCAAATAATGTTGTGAAAACACATTCCTTCAGTCATTATAAAGTTCTTAAAATACAAAAGAAATTAAATTTTGTAAGAAAGTCTAGTAGACCAGAGACTGTTTCTTCCAGGATGTTGTGTAGAAGCAAGGCTACCCTTCAATACATCCCACGCCATCCTCCTCCACCCATACTGCCTTGCCCATAGTATCCTCCACTATTTCCACTGCCACGACCTGCAAACAATTGACACAAGGTCACGCATACATACCTTGAAAAAAGAAAAAATGTGATGGGTAGCACAGTTGCTCGAGGATGACTTGACTTACACCACACCCCCATCGTCCACCACGAGGCGGACGTCGCGACATTTTCACCAAATACGTTTAAAACAGAACTTTTTACTTACTATATCCGCCCAAGCCGTCGGGAGTTCCGTACCCGCTGCTGTAATTGCTACCCATTCCCATTCTGCCGACAGAGCCGTAGCCTTGATCTGCAAGGCAGGAAAGGGCAGCGTTACAAACCTGGGACTCGCTAGGCTCGGCCACACCTCAGCTAAGGCTGGAACCGATGCGTACCCATTCCATCTCTGCCATAGCCTCCCATCCCAGAGCCGCCTCCAGCAGTTGAGTTCAGGAATAGTTCAATATATCGATGCTCTGCAGGAAACAAAAAAACCCCCTTACTTTCTATTTTTTTCTGTTTCAGAAACCAGAAGCACACAGATGCAACACAAAAAAAAAAAAGCCCCCACCTGAGAAGTAACAGAAGTTCAAAAAGAGTGAGTTTGAAATGTGGTAAGCAGCAAAGCCTTATGATCTGCGTATTTACTGCACAGCAACTGAAGTTAAATGCAGTTTAACCCCTTGTATGCCCCACTAAAGCCTGCTCAACAAAAGCTTCAGCTGCACACGACACTCACGCATGTGATTTTTATCCTTGGACATGGCAGCTACTGCATCCTCGTGTGTTACAAATTCCACATCTGCCTCTCCTGTGGCTCTTCCATCTGCCCCAATATCAATGTGAACTCTTATAGGATTCAACGGTGAGAAAAACTAACAATAAAAACAAACAAAAAAAAATCACATTAATGCAGAGTTCAAGCCAGGTTTTTTTTTGTTACCCCCGTGGTTAGTGCAGCACTCTGTTAATTTTGTCTCAGCCTACCACATGAATTTAATTACTAATTTTCAAAGCATGACGTAGTGACAGCGGACCTTCAACATTAGGTCAATCCACACTCACAATCCATTATTATTACACAGCTTGAGGAGCTCCAGCTCCAGAGCTCAAGGAGCTTTCTTGAAAAGCAAAGACAGAGGCAAAAATTCCTGCCAACACACATTGCTTTCTGCAACAAAGTCTAATAACGATGCCATCCTGGAAAGGAAAATAATTAACTTTGTGTTGAAGAAGCAGAGCCAAATACATTTCTCAAGGCAAGGATGTATTTATGGAATTCAAAAAAAGCTGGCTGCCAGTCAGACAGACCTCAAAGGGACCAACAGCCTTTTTACCAATCGGCACGTGCAAGCGAGCCTTTGGTACAGAACTGAAGTACTACTCGGCACCTTGGGAGAGAACAACAGCCTGAAGTTTGGCCCTCGTTCTCCAAGAGTCTTTAGACTAAAGAGAACAATCAAACTGGTAAGAGGAGAATATAGCTCAGTTAGAAACCAAACCAAATTAAAACCACAAACCAAAAAAGAAAACAAGCGCAAGTTTAAGAATGGAGTTCTGCATATATAACGTATGGGTGCAAGTACTAAAGATTGAGCCCCCCTGTAGAGATTAAACCAGGCCTTACATATCCCAGGAGTAACTTTCTCCCCTACAACCACCACATCTACACTGACAGAAGAATGTATTCCCAAAACCTCGCAGATGTGCTTTTATCTGCTGCCCCGGTATACAACAAAGTATACTACAAACAACGTTTCTCATCTGCTATCACTCTTTTACAAAACCTTAAATCTTCAGTTAAGCATAAACAAACTTCTGAAAACGAGGACACCGATTGCAACAACTGTTCTCTCCCCAACACACCTTTTATGGAAATGAAGGAGCAAAGAGTGCAGAGATTAACGTTAAATATAGTTTGGCTGACTTCTTCAGTAATCCTGCCTCAGACGTTACCTTTATTAAAGCTCATTTACTACTAAGCCTTGCGAAACTCGCATAAAGGGCCGTGACTTTAGTTAGCAGATGTACTAGTGCTATCAATCACTTGTTTGAGAACTTTTAAGTGAGTTTGGAATAGGAAAGGCAAGAACACGCAAACTGTTGGCAGAAGAAAGCCCCTCTCCCTGTCGTACTTACGTTAGCGATATCATTTTCTGTTGCTCGAAAAGGCAGTCCTCTCATGTGAACAAAATGACCACCACCATGGAAACCTGACCCTGCATCTCCAGCTCCACCGTAGCCATGTCCTCCCATGCCTATCAAAAAACCCAAAACCAAAACCACGCACCTGTAAGATCATCATGAAAAGCCAGAAAAGTCGTTACCGCTGCTTTTCTGAAAGCACTCACTTTGTGCCACTGAATGCAAGGTGCTCACGCGTCCTGTCTATCAACCCACTTAACCAGAAGATATCCCAAGCAATATGTTTGCGTTTTCCTGAGATTCCCCAACCCCCCCCCCACCTTTTTAAACAACCTTCTTTTTTTACAAAATAATCTAATGAAGAAAGTGATTATTTGTGTCTCAGAAATACTACGTCTTACAACCCAAATAACAAAAATCTTTCTAAACCATCCATTCATTTTTTTTTTTACCTCTCCCATCTCTCATTCTGTCATCATAGCCATCATTTCCATAGCCATAGTTATTATAGCCACCATAATCATCAAAGCCACCATACCCTGTGCAATGGAGAGAAAGAAAGGAATGATTACATTATGACTGAAAATTCACCAAGCGCTGCACAAGAGTCAATTTTTCAGTCTCTGGGCACCCAGAAGTTTGCAAACGACCTCTACAGACTGTTAAACCTGGATTTCTGAACAGAGTGCAAAAGTAAAAATTCAGCTTACACAGTAAAAAAAGACAAACATGCAAGTGAGAGATCAAATTCTGCTGCAAACAGTTTCCTGATTACTTCCACTCATCTTAAATACCAAGCCACATTTTTTTTGATACAAGTACAACTTCTTCGAGCGAAGTGCGTCAAACCTAACGGGTACTGCAGCTACTGCCATTTCTTTATTTCTTGACAAAGATGTCAGAAACATGAAACTGACAACAGAACCTCCGTTCATTAGATAAACATACCACCGTCATATCCACCACCTCCTCGACGCATTCTGTCATACATACTTCCACGCCCAGCTCCATAATAACCCCCTCTTCCTCCTAATGGTCTATCATATGGTCCAGGTCGTTGTTGTCCCATCATTCTTCTTGGCATGTCACAGAATCCTCTGATTTCGCTCTTACTACTTTTGAAGATTTCAATGTATCTAATGAAAGAGGATTTCAAGGTACCAATAAGAATACATGCATAAGCAGTCTGAACATTACAAAAGGCCATACTACATTTTCTATAACTAAACGTACAATCCGATAGTAGTGACTAGAGATACCATACAACTTAAGTTTCTCCTCAAAACCGTAAGAATCTTAAGTGTATAAAAAAAAAAAAACCAAAACACTTTACAGTGGAAAAAATACTATGTGAAAAATTCTAGCTGTACAAATTAAGCATAAAACATGTCTTTCGAGTATGAGCAACATACTGTTGAAAAACAATGTCTAGCTATAGTAGTATTTATCACAAATTACCCTATGCAAGAACGATTGAAACAGTTTTCCGAGTTTAGCAAACTACCCAGAGCAATACTGTCTCCCCCACCCCCCAAATCTACCATATTTCCCACGTTAACTTAGGATCAGTTATAAAAATTCTTAAAAACAGCCAGTTCCATATAATGGTCCCCAACCCCCCCAAAAGCATTACTGACCCACAACCCCCAAAAATAAAGATTTAACACCATCCCAAACTCTCCATCCCCACCTGTGCCCTATTCTTTCCTTGTGTTTCCCCAGAGCATTTTCTGCTATCTCCTTTGAAGCAAACTGCACGAAGGCCTCCCCTGTGCTTCTCCCCTGGTAGTCCAGCGTCAATGTTATCCCATTTGGCACGATTTCCAACCCTTTAACCCAAGGACAAATAACCCCATCAAGGGGAACAGTGTTAAAGGCTGAAACATTCCCATCTGTAGCAAATACTTAAAGCACATCTAAACAACAACAACGAAAAAAAAAACCACCTTGTTTCCCCCATCACCCAAAAATACAAGCCAATGATCTTTTATTAAACATTTATGGATTTAGCCATACTTCTTTTCTGTTTAAACTAAAGAAAAATACAACCACCTAAGTTAAATGAATACAGCTACCAATCAAACAATTTAACTGACCCAAATGCTAACATTCAGGTTATCCCAATATGCATAATACGTTTCCCACCTTGACAAAATTAGTTATGTACTGTGTTTTACTACATCTATGGTTATTTCTACTTCATTAACAGGGCATAATTCTTACTCAAGATACACTTACTTAACCCAAGCCCTCCCGTCCACCCCATTAACAGCCATTACAAATTAAAACATTGCATAAGAGAGACAATAAAACTCAATCACTGTATTTTGACTATACTAGAGGTACCTTGGAAAAACTGAACAATCTCCTCTTTGCTGCAACCGAACGGCAGGCCTCGAAGTCGTACCACTGTTCCATCATTAGTTGTATCATTTGGCCCATTATGTTTTCCAGTCCAGTCCATCTTTTATTTAAATCAAACCCTACACAAAAAAAAAAAAAAAAAAAGAGGGAAAAGAAAAAAAAGTTAAGATTCCAAATATGCTTAAGCCCCTCCCCTCAAACGAAATCTGGTAGTTTTTCTTCAGGTAACTAGTATTATGGATAGCACGCTTTATTTCTGTTACGTATTTAAAACTGTACTTTATTGCATCTACAGCACGCATACATCTAAACCCACCCCAAACTCCGACAGGGAACACGGCGCGGAAGGGAGGGCAGCACGTGGGTAGGCACAGCACATAAAGCTCATTATTTACTCAGAGTACACTGAACATTTGTCCTGTAAGATTTGGGCGGGGGAATTTATTATTTTTGTTTTGGTTTTTTTTTTTTTTTTTTTTTTTTAAGCATGACAGTTGAAGAAGGGTTAGGAACCACGCAACGGTTCCTGCGTGGAAACACAAGGCCGTCCTTTGTCTGCAAACAAAGCACCACGGGCCACGCTCCCAGTTGTGGTTTTTTCTTTTTTTCTTTGGTTCCCCCTCCCTCCCTCCCGCCCCCCCCCTTCCGGAAACGCGGGCGATGCGTTACCTCGAATTACAAGTGCCCGGGACAAAACGGGCAACCGCAGGATCACCTTGAGGGGCAGCGTGGCCGGTGCCGGCCCAGCAGC